GCACCTGGGGCTTTGTTAGTAGGTAATCGTTCAATTGCTTTGGTTACTTGTTCGGTGGTGAAAGGGTCATTTTGATCATCATTGACGGGGTTTGGATTAGTATCAGGGGTAGTATCAGCATTGCATGAGGGAATATAGGGAAGGATGTTTGGTGTTTGTGAATGCATATGGTTACCACTAAAGACTGCTTTTAGATGATCAGCCATTGTTTGGGCCGCCATATCGGGACCTTCAGGGTGAGTATATGTGGGTTGAAGTGTGCGGTTTCGTTTGATTTTGCTGATAGTAGCTAGTGCTTTGTTGAAGTCACCATTGTCTAATTTAGAGCAGAAAGAGCGCCATGTTTCAGCACGACGTTTGTTGACCTTTAGTCGTACAAGTGCACGGGCTTCCTGATGCTTGATCCACCAATGTACTTTGCTTAAACTATTTGCTTTGCGCCATTTTTTATAGCAGTATTCGCGATGGTCCATAGCTTTCTGGATGTCTTCGTTCCAAAACCATTTATGTCTTGAGGGTCTTGAAAACGGGTTTTTTGCTCCTATTGCTATATCAAGGGAGGTGTAGAAGGCTTTGTTGAGTTGGTGGGTTAGTTCATCTACATTGGGCTGTGTGTCTGTAGATTCGAGTATGTTAGCCAAGGTGGATGTTAGATCGCGGGAGTTAGTATTGAAATGGTCGATATAACTTTGCCGTGTTGTAGGATCAGAAAGGCGATAGAGTTTCCATTGTCGGCGTGGTGGTGGGTTTTGCTGAGGTGGTGATTGATTGGTGTCAAAAATCAGGTGCGTGATTTTATGGTCGGAGTCGAGTGATGCTTCGTCTTGTATAACCATTTGTGCATTGAGAAGGCGTTGTGTGCTGAAGAATAAGTCGATGATACTTGACCCGTTGTGTCGGATGAATGTGGGTTGTCCTTTGGCCAATTCAGCATTCCAAAGGTGCAATCCATAGGATTCCATCCATGTACGAATGCGATAGCCTCTAATTGTGGTATCTCGGTCGCCGACTACTGTACCTAATCGAGCATTGAAGTCACCACAGATAATGGTGTTGGTGGTGCTACTATGTTCAAGTGGCAGTGATTCGAGGATGTCAATGGCTGTATCATGGGATAGAGAGGGTGGTAGGTATACACAATGGATAAGATATTCACCAAAGGTACAGGAAATAGTGTAAGACGGGTATTGGTGGTTTGGGATGGTGACAGGGGACGTGGGATATGGATTGGATGGGTTGATAAGTAGGGTGAGGCCCATTTGACCACGTGGTGTATTAGGGATGGGTAATGCGTATGTGTGGTATTGTGTCCATGAAGTGGGGAAGCGATTGGGGGAGAGTAGCCATGTTTCTGTGATAAAAGTAATGTTAGTTTGCTGTAAATGGGTTAGTAAATAATCAATTGTGTCTTTTGGAAGGCCTGTTGCATTCCAAATTGCTATATTGACAGGTGGTGCGATTTCATAAGCGAAGGGAATCCTGCGATCCAATAGATCCTGGATTCTGTGGTACATCATTAGCATCAGTCATTTCGGTGTCATTGCTTTTGTGGTTATTGTCAGTGGTGGGTTCAGGTTGTCTGAAATTGGCTGCTGCATCTGATTGCTGTGATTGGGTTGAAGGCTGACGAGCAAAAGGGCGTAGGATATCTTTTAGTTGGTCTTCAGAAATCCATTCCTTGCGCTTGAAATCGCGTGCAACTGCCAGGCGTACTGGGATGCGAATGTATTCAAGAGCTTTGATCATACGAGCGAGGTGGAGTTTGGATGCAATTTCTTTTCTCTTAGATTCCTCTTCATCCTTATACTTGGGATCTCTAAGGCGGGTAGGGTCACGTGGGTCGAAGTTTTGCATAGGAAGGGCACCGTGGGCAGCCATGGCTGCTTTGAGGTCTTCTACATAATCGTTGTGAGTGAGGAGTGCTACTACCTGATAGTCGGGATAGTGGATATCGAGTACACGGCTATTGTCAACACCAATGCGCCTAAGTTTGGCTCTCACTTCGCCAGTTTTATATCTAACTTTGGAGAAGAAATAAGTGTATTGGAAGCCTTGGTTATCGGAAAGAGGTTGGAAACAGCGTGCTGCAGCTTCCTTTCTGCGTTGAATTGTTGCTGCACTTGGTTGAGGACGTTGTTTAAGCTTCTTAACACGATCAGGTTGTGACCATGGGTTGGTAGAAGTAGCTGAGCGTTGGGTGTTGGATGATTGTTGTGTATTATTGGCATTCATGTAATCATGTGCATAAATGGAAGCCGATGTGCCACGAGGTGTTGGTTGTGTAATTTGTTCACGGAGTTGGTTGTTCTCCTTCTCAAGTTCTAAGACACGAGTATTAGCCTTATTGAGCTCTTCAGTTACCTTTGTGAGGCGGTCTGTGATTGATTTTAGTTCATGAAGCAAGGTATCTTGCTGCTGGACCTGGGAGCGAAGAGAATTGAGTTCATCCATGATAGTAGTCATGAAGGCTGGCACTTCATGGTGGTGTTCAAAGACCAAAGGTGGAGGTGTATTGGGTCGTTGAGCATTTTCAACCGCTTGCATTTGGTCGGCCCAATCAGTAGGGAGTGAGTCAAAGAACTCGGTCTCGGGGTCATTTGAAATATCCTCCTCAGGTACAGGAGTAGCATGAGGTGCAGGTGATTCAGGGACATCAGCAGTAGTTGTTGCGTGTTGGCTTTGTTGGTATTGCTTAATAGCATCCATAACCTTGATATGGTTTGGTTGTTTCTTGCATTTGTTGCAGGCAAAACGAGGATGGCGATGAGCATCTCTGGTAGAGCCATAGAGGGTAAGAGTGTCCTTGCGGTTGCAACTTGGGCACTG